ACGGTTTTCATAAACCGTTCCATCCCTATTATATCATTGTCTTATTTTAAGGTCTAAAGTCTTCGTTCTATTGACAGATCATCTTATTTACCTAACACTAACCCTTTACCCGGTCAAATTAAGTTCATTTTTGGATCCATTTCTCGCAGTACTGTGTGGTATTGTGGTAGAAGGATCAAGGTGATGGTCTGTCACGATGGCCGTGGTTGACGGTGTCCTGCCTCAATAGATTAATAAAAAGGAAGAATTACTTCAAGGTTCTTTAATCTGATCATAATCTAATCAATTCCCTTGAGACCAAACAATTTAACCTCCACCAATTCTGCAATCAGATGGGTCCTGTATTCAACCAGAATCAGGGTTGAGTGAACTCACAGGACCGTTACCCCATCATGCTGTTCCCTGCGTGCATATCTAAAATGTAACCATCATTTCTTTGGTTTTGGTTTTTAAGTCCCCATCCACCTATGCTTGCTTTGGAGATGTAGCAATAAAGGACAACAGTTTGTTTAATCTGTCAACTGATTCTGTTTGTCCCTCTTCTTTTAGATGTACCTCTCTGCTAAAGAGAGGGAGGAGGAACAACGTGCCCTGCTGGCCAAACAGAGACATTTGGAGGAAGTGCTGAGGCAGAAGAGAGAGATGGAGGCCAGGCAGCAGTCTGAAAACATCAGTGACCAGGAGATGGTGGACAACATCTTCGGCTTCCTGCCCAATATTATCATTGGAGGGCAGGAGGGCCAGGCTCCTGTTGGATTAGAGGTTCAGAAACAGACACATGTGATGCTTTGTCCTTAGATCAGTGGGTTAGTTTCATCATGACTCTTATGTCTTTACAGAACATTGAAGGAAAAAGGACTGTAATTGAGGAGATAGACATCGATGAGCTTCCCTTGGAGCCAGAACCTCCCGAGGAAGACTATGATGACTTGGATCAGTACTCCTTCACCAAGTTCGCCTCCATTCACTTCCAGGGAGCAGCCACGCACAGCCACATCCGGCAGAGGCTTCAGCAGCCTCTGCTCTACCACGAGGATGAAGGAGATGTTCTGGTGCTGATCTGTGAACCTAACATTTTTTCATTTCATCAGTTTTTCCCTTCAAATCAATTTGTTTCAAAAACACTGGGGCTTGTTGTGTTCTCACCAGGCCTCGCTGACGGTGTGGTGGATCATCCTGAGATTTCTGGGAGACCTCCCGGAACCCAAGAGACAGAATAGAGGATATGCCCATCAGCGGATGGTGCCTCAGGATATGCTCTCTGGGCAGGACAGACGTCTGAGCCACATGGTGGGCCTGGATCAGGTACGTTTACTTCCAGCAATGGCTAAACTTTGGGAAAGTCTTGGGACAGTTTTGTTTTTCTAATAACATTTTTAAATATGCTTTATTCCAGAGAGTGCTGAGGAAGAACAAAGAGGCCACGCCCTCTGTAGTTTCAGATGACTCAGAAAAGAGAAAAGGGTCGATTTTCACAGACCTTCTGTCGAAAAACAGGAAACCCTCTGCCATGCCCAACGATATGTCTCCAAACCTGAAGTCCTACACTGCACCTGAAGGTAACCCGCGAGCAAGGAAAGGCTCCACCTTCACTGACATGCTGTCCAAAAACAAGAAGGTCCCTCCTGGTAGAGAAAACTTAAGGAAGCCGTCCATCATCACGGAGGAGGTAAGGGGGAAAGGCTGGGAGAGATTTCATCTGACAGATGACATCAGCACACAAATCCAATTCTTCTCTGTCTTTTACAGTCAGATAATATATCTGAATTGTCATCACCCTCAACGCTGCAAACTGTGAGTGAGAACGGCGATGTGATGGCAAGAGAAGAACTCACCCTAGACAGGCCTCTGACATCTCTGGAAAAAGTCCACTACATTGTGGGATATGGCATCATCAGGCCTGATCTCAGGTTTAAACTGTCTTCTTTTATCAATTCCAGCATGTTTGGCTGACCACGTTCTTTTCTGAAACGCTGCTGAAATACTGTTGTTCCCCCAGAGACGAGATCTACTGTCAGATCTGCAAACAGCTTCATGAAAACAGCAACCGGAACAGCTACTTCCGCGGGTGGATCCTGCTCTCCCTCTGTCTGGGTGTCTTTCCTCCCAGTCAGCTCTTTTTGAAGGTAACCATGCAAGCATGCTGAATACCTCACTGTCACAAATGGTGAAAGCAGAATATTTAATTTGCGCTCTGTCTCTTTTATTGGCAGTACCTTCAAAGTTTTATCCGTTTTGCTCCTGGGGGATTCCCATCCTACCTGGCCGAGCGGCTGCGGCGTACCTTGATGAACGGAGCGAGAGGGGAGCCTCCGGCCTGGCTCGAACTGCAGGTACTGATATATGTTTCTCTACAGGGTTTTAAAGGCAGCATACCTGCACGCAGAGGTGTCAAACAAAGAAGACAGTAGTACTAAATAGTATATAGCTAAGTGGGCTATCGTTTTCCCAAAAACTGAGGGATTCTGCTTAATTTTGAGACATTGATGTGTTGCCATTTGCTTTCATGGGTGGCTAAACATTTAAGTTACAGATCTAGCGACCCTAGTGGCTAAACGGTACACAGTATTTGTTCTAATAAAAGTAATATCAAGTTTGTAGATTAAATGATACAAAATACCTTTTAAATACCCTATAGCTAAAACAACAGTTATATGCAATGGAAATGGGTCACAGTTACTCTTTTGCTCACTGCTTTGGTGTGAGAATATTTTTTTTTTATAAATTCAGAGAAGATAATATAGATGGAATTTAGCAGACATTCTACATAAGCAGTTGAATGCTTTAGAGCTTTTGTATTTACAGCATTAAAGTTGCAAACAGCATCAAACATTGAAACAAAGCTTTAAACATAAACATGATCTAAAAAAGAGGGAATAGATGAGCAACATCTCAGGGTATTTTATTTATCTGCAGTGTTGTCAGCCCTCTGTAACTATCAGTGGTTTTCTGTAAACAAACCAACTGGATAGATTTTGTTCTTGCACTTCATATTTTCTCTGTTTTGCTATGGCTGCAAGGTCATTTTGTTATCAATATTTACTGTAGAAGTTAAAAGCCAGTTCTGTGAAAGTAAGGAGTAGAGCATACAGATATTTGTGTTCAAATGCAGGAAGCAAAAGTAAAAAGTCCTCAGAATAATAAACAGTAAAGTACAGAAACTACTGTATGTATGTATGTATACGTAGTTAATTGACACTTGTGTCTCCACTCCAGAATGTAGAACCTCAATTGGTCATATTTGCTTTCCGCCCAAATAAATTTAGATCTAACAGTATAACATCTCCTTATAATATTTTATATGTTTGTTTATTTATCATATTTTTCCACTTTCTTCTTGAGGTCATGAGGAAAAGTAATGTCTTTTATGAGAACCCTATCATTCTTCATCAACAACATTACCACTGATTACCGGTGTTATCTTCAACTACTGCGTTCACACCACACATGATTGAAGAAGAAGAAGCTGCAGGTTTACATGCAAAGTCTATGGTTGACGCACACCAAGGCGCATCAAAAGGTCCTGCAGTGCATGTAGAGCAGCCTAGCATCCCCATGAGCCTCTGAGCATCTGATGCGCTCCACAAGCAGCAGCTGCTGGTGTTGGAAAAATGTAATTTTTTTTGCTCAATGTGCCACATTAACCAGTCAGAGAAGCTGATCTGGGAGCTGGGAATGAGACAGACAAAGCACTGCAGATGCTGCTCGTGATCATCACTCCTCTGAAACAGTTCAATGCCTAAATTAACTTAAAATTTCAAAACCTGCTGGCAAGATATGTTTACTTTTATTATCCTGGTGCCTGCAGTTTGTACTGCTGCTGGGGATTCCCATTATCAGAGCACCGCCGGTATGTGGGGATCTGAATGCCTTCGACAGCATTTTAAGGCAGGATCGAAATCTTAATGAACTGACTGCACAGAAGATGTTTTTGAGGTGGACTTTTTCGCTTAAAAATATATTATAACTACTTTTTAGCTACTTCAAATATAGCAAAGCCATTCTCTGTCAACTAGGGGGGTGAGGTTGCTTGATGACCCAGATGCAGAGATGAGTGAAAGAGAGTTGAGTTCTTGTTGCTTTAAAGAAAAAACTGAGGCAGACATCAGAAAATACAAAATACAAAAAAACTGAAAATATTAGGGAAAACTCACGTGGGGAGCCAGAGACAAAGAAGCAACTAATAACAACAAGGAACCAGCACAAAGTGACTGAACATGAGGTGTATAAATGGGAGACTGAACAAGGACCAAGCTAATCAGCAGATTGGGAGCAGGTGTGGACAGAGGAGTCTAGAAGGGAGCTAGGGAAAAAGAGACACAAGAGGGTAGCTGAGGGCAAACAATACTTAAGATCTCAAATACAATCAAAATAACTAGAATAACACAAAATAGAACTGAAACCAATGAACTAGAAAACACTGAAAGACATAAATCAAAGAATAACTGAAAACTAAAGAAAAAATAAGTTAAACAGAACCAAAAAGTGCAGAGTCACAACACCCTCTGCCATTGAACACAGGAGCAGCAGAAGCATCAGACGCCTCTGGATACACTTTACTGGAGCATCAATGATGCCTTTGAGGCCCGTCAGATCTTAATGTACAAGCATCAAAAATGAAGCAGCAGCAGGCCCTTTTTTTGCTGCTGAAATTACGTGAGGTGTGAGCCTAGCATTAGACGCTTTGGGCATAACTCAAGACTTTAATGGGAAAAAAAACCATCCCTAAATTGAAAAGTTTAATTTTAGGAACAATAAAATCCTGCAGTGAATTATTTGAGACTTTAAGGCAAACAAAGGAAGCACAATAGTGGAGTTTCATGATTTGGTTTTCTTTTTTTTTGTTGTTGCTTTTTTTAAAGTTTTTACAGCACTAGTGGCTCATTGTTCTGACAGAGACATACAGCAAAGGACCATAGGTTGGATTTGAACCCAGGTCAGCCACTCTAAGGCCTCCGTACATGGGCCATGCGCACTAACTGCGCCACCTGTACGCCTCAGGATTTTTTTTTATCCTATTGGAAATATACTTCTATCTGCGTTGCTGATGAAGGTTCTCAGTCATGCAGGTCATAGTCATTCCGTAAAAATTTAAAAAATATCCACTGGACGTTTCGCCACCTCTCCAGGAAGCTTTCTCAATTCAAATGTCTGGATCCGCAGTGAGTTTGAGTCTTATATGGACAAGGCCTTGTATTGCTTAGAAACATGCAATGGTAACCGACCGACCCCTAGAATCATAGACAGGTTCAGATATTACAGGCTAACGATGGAACTAAACGACCCATTCATCGGTTATCGATAATTTTTATTTGTTAATTTAATTTATACTCTCACAGGCAACCAAGACGAAGAAGCGCATGTTAGTGAACGTGGCGCTGCTGGATGGAAGAGCCATTAACCTTCCCGTGGACTCAGCGTCTACGTCAAGAGAAGTTTGCCAGCTCGTCTCCAACAAAATCAAGCTCAGGGACGCTTTTGGCTTTTCCCTCTATGTAGCTATGTACGAAAAGGTAAGAGCTTTATTTCAATTAT